GTGTTCTAAGCAGCCTTTCCAGGCTGAAGGGACAAACCCAGGAAAGTAACAAGGCCCGAGACCCCAAATGGATAAGCTAAGCAGCCCCGACTAGAAGCTTGCTACTCGTTAACTGAAAAGCGGGGGTCACACACTACTTTCACTCTCATTAGCAGATCAGAGGGGATTTTCTGATGGCAACAGTCACTGAATATAAGGTTTCACTCAGGGCAAATGTTATCTAAAAGTTATTGTTAAAAGCATATGATTAGTGTCATAAACATATTTAGATTTGGAACTACATCATTTGATATTTCCATTAAGAATGCCAAGCTCTGAGAAAAACATACTGTAAAATCATGCTGCTGAAAACTGCAAGGTATCCAACTGAGTATAAACAGTCTGATGTCAGTCTAATGTCATCACCCTGAAATGGATCCTGGTGACATGCACTACTGAGCCAGCTACCTTGACAGGAAAAAGGAGAATGGCAGGGAATCATTCCAGATCAAGAATCCCTCTATCAGTTAAGATTTCCATATTGAGTCTATGAAAAAAGCAAATTAAAAACACTTTAAGAAAGGGAGAATTCAATTCCAGGTCAGAATTTATCTAATGAGCTAAAATGTGTCCCACTTACCATGTCTAAAAAATGGATGACTTGTGCTAGCCCAGTTAGATTAATAACTTCTTTTGATGAGATAAAATACTACTTTAGTCCAGCTTAGCTTGACTATTCTTCCCATTTGAAAACCCAAATGACCTTTATAAGGTATATAAAATTCCCAGAGTACTGTGATCTCTCTAAAGGAAATACAATTACACAATAAAACTTGATGTTTGCTGCCAAAGAATTAAGTACAACAAAACTTCCCATATTTATAGATTCAGATGTGACTGTTCTTGGCATTTGCCATCTCTAATCCTAGAAGTAAATCTGGTTATCTTTTGAAAATACTTTCTCATTACAGAAATGCTAAATATGTTTATTAAAGTAGTTCAAATTGGATTGCCCAACTTTATTTTAAAATCAGTATGGCAAAGAAAGGCCTATGCCAAAAAGCATGCTTATGAGACTGAGATTTAAGCCATACAACAGCAACTGGCAGGCCACAAAGAGGGTGGGCTATCACAGAGCTAGCCACGCTCTATTTGAAATAGCTACAGGGAAAATAAGCCATAAAAGTAAGTTTGCCTCAAAAATTTCCTTTGGGCTGGGC